AAACGCTGTAGTCGGTCCCTGTCTATTCTCAAGTCTCAGCACCCCTCTGGCTGCTGGCTGTCCTCACGTTATCCGCTTTCTAGAGGAGCGATTGGATTCCGCCAAAGGGCTTCGAACTGTTCAGATCGTCAATGTAGGGGCAGCTGCGAGTTTGAAAACTTTGACGATCTGCTTTTCAAGACACTGGAGCCGAATGTGAATAACCCCATTACAGTGCCGGTATTTACTCGAAAATTATAGAAGCCGTAGAATTAATAGATTGTACGAAGCATTTTCTTTTTTCTCGCGTCGGGAATGAACATTTTGCGCTTGAATAAGAGGATGGTGCTTTCATTTCAATCCTAATTCAATTTCTTCAAAGCCATAAGAATTTTTCCACCCATTTATCAGTTCAAGCTTAATTTCCTTAATCGTACACAAAAGATGTCGGAATTTAACCTCTAACATTCTTGAACTGAAAAGGTGCAGTGAAGGACACTTGTATTGTATTCGGTATTCAAATGAATTTAAAACGCGATTTTGATCAATGAGATTTTGTTGGTTGACAAATCATGCCCCTTAGTTGTAAATCTAAAACGCCATCCTTTTAGAGGAAACCCATTTGATTTCAACGGTTCAATGCGCAAAGAACTGTGACTTATATTCCGGTAAATGAGGTACTGTATTTTCAACTGGGGCATGGCAGGAAAGTGATTTCAAAACTGGAGGAACACTGTGCTTTTCTATTTAATCGGCAAATAAGTCGTCAAAGAAAGCTCGTTGTCAGCAACGTCAGACATAACACACTCATTCCCGAAAGCTATGAAAAGTTTAGTCTTAGCAAAGTTTCAAATAATTATCAGTTACAGTACATGTGTTAATGACCGAAAGTTTTCTTCCGCATGATCTGAATTCACAGATACCCAAACATAACAATGACCTGATATGAGTAATATCAACACCATGCATTAAGATCAATATGGAAATTAGCTCTGCAATAAGAAACTACTGCTTGAATAAACATATCATGATCACGATGAGTCCAGTTAATGATTAAGATGCTCGTCTGTGAACATTTGTCTCAGCGACAAGATTGAATACTACGTGACCATCACGTCTGGCCACGGAGCAGGAATTCATCGTACTTCACGATCAAACTTTGCATGAATGTAACCAACACATACCATTCATACAGACGGGGGTGGTGTCGCAATCGTGAGGTATAATCGGAAAATAGCTGTATGCATTATGCGTACGTAGTCGAGTTACACTAACTTAATGCAAGCTTGACCTTGAGGCAGGCCTTGCCCAACTTTCTTTACTGCTGGCACGAACCTCAAGAGTCTGACTCAAGCACTCATAGAGAAAGACAGGGCCACGTTTCTCAAGCATCCACGAAAAGAAAAGAGATTATCGAATCCAGCAAAAAATACAAATATGAGACGGATTTAAATACATGCTGGCAGACGAATTCAAGAGGTACTGTACTTGATTGTGTGTCCCAAAGTGCGTTTACGTGTATTTATTTTTCAAATGAAGCATGCGTACACACTGAAAACTGGCAAACGAAGTAGTCGAATGGGATGCTGAAAAACGCGTTGAAGCGGCGCAAGGATCTTACTGCTCTTGTTTCTTTCCGAAGCGCATTGATTATTTTTTAATTAAAGAAAAGTTCCGATCCGTTATTGTAGAATTGCGAACGACGAAAACTCCCGTGTTTTCCTCGACAAACCGGGTAATCGTCAACACCAAGTCGCAATACATTACTGCACTGTAGAGGCGCAGTTTATTTCTGAAGTCCATTTGAGTTTTTTTTCAGCCTCGAAGAAGAAAATGCTCTTCCATTAATGCAAAATCGCTTGAAGCAAAAATTCCATTTTTTTCTCGACACACCGGATCCATACGGCGAAAATTCGCACAGTTTTTGCTCCTCGCAGAAACACGATCCCTAAGAAACAAAATGCAGCCCCGTTATCGCGGAATCGCTGGAGGCAAAAATTCAGATTTTTTTTTATCGTCATGCCTTATGGCAACAGCCATAGGTAGCAATATATTTGCTTCGACGGAGACTTCGAGCGGTAGCCGGGGGCATGGTAACAAGAAAGCACTCAGCAACCTGTTCGTCGTCCATTTCCGTCGAATAGTGCACTACTCGAGATCTGCACCTTCATCCAGACTCCGCGGAGATGATGGGTGTTTCATTTAGCCTCCGGAAGGCGAGCAAGTTAGTGACGAAAGCCGAGATGCCCGTGAACTTCCGCAGGAAGTCGGAATCCGCTTTGAAGCCCCTCTTCGACTCCGTCTGATTTAGCCTCAGTAGACTTCCGGACGGGGAAAAGAGAGAACAGGGCGGGAACAATGCCCATCAGTTCCGAAGAGCAATTTCTTGCCTACGACCGTCTCAGCGCCTTCTTGACCTTTAGTCACGGGTGCCGCGACGTTTTCCTCCCCAACGAAGGCGCACGCACGTCTCCGCAACCGCAACGTCCGTAGAAAGGCACGCGGCGCGCAACACATGGAGCGATGACGCGTACGGTTGCCCAGATGGGAGTCGAGGGAATGTTCACATGCAACGAAGAAACTGGTCTCATAAGGCGACGCCGGGTAATATTCATGCCCCGGACGCACGTTGATCGTCGGCGAATGTATAAAGTTCCCGGCTGACGTAGGACTGCCTTTAATTTACGGATGCACGCGAGTTCCAATGGCCAATATTGTCAGTCGCAAGTTCGAGTGAGCTTCCGATAACGCAAAAAGGTATGCACGGGTTCAACCGGGCAGAGGAAATATCGCACAGTACTTCGGGGCGTATTCTAGGCCGAACTTTCTTTTCGGAAGAATACTCGGAAACACTCGCATGCGGCTTGTGCTTCAGAATTTCGAGGTTAGCATTGTATTAGGCATCACCCGAGTCTCACGCATGAGACCTTCATTTGAAATCAGTCGATATGCAGCACATTAAAAATTAAACTCGATTCATCATCCAGAAAATGGGAAAAAAAGCTTACTGCGAATTTTGAAGCGTCGGCAACTGCGGGTTTCCCTCACGTTCAATGTTTTGAAACTTTTAATGGGAAAGGTACAATTCTGTCAACGTTAAGGACGAATTTCCCTTTTTCAATTCCGGCATCATGATTCCTCTAGAGTTGCAGCTTAAATTCGGGGGCGGTCAGCAGATGCTTTACCACTTAAATACGCTCAATATTTAATGTGCTTAAATAACCTGTTCACGCCTCAGATCCCTTCTGGATCAATAACACCAATCTGTGGTTAACTGAAACTTCAATGTCCCATAGTTCCAAAACAAATTTATTGATGCATTGAGTAGGCTTCTTTTAGTAGTGCTGCATGACATACCGTATAAAGGTACAGTAATCTATATCAAATGGTATCTTGTTGTAAGGCTCATTCTAACAAGATTCAGGACCTAAAGGTTTTCTTTCTGAAGGAAAACCGAACCAAAAGCAAATTAGAATTCAACTCCTTCCGGGCTTCAGTTCTTGGCACCAAAACAAAAGGTACTTCCGACCCACAAGAGACTTGAGGAATGTACAGTATGTCTAATTGAGATTTACAGCGCTGTTCCAATTCACAAGCGAACCGATAAAATCTTCCGCTCTTTCGAGCAGAACTAGTCTCCGCACGTTTATTTCTCTAGGGACACGCATTGTCTCTGGCTGAATGCCAGCGCATTCACCATGTTTAAGAACAGTCGGGATGTTACTACTCGAACACGTCCAAACTTCAGCATGTGACTAAAAACATAGCCTTCTCTTTAGAAACCGAACTAACACTCGGAAAACGTGTCGACAATCCATCTACATTAAAATTTCGTACAAGCATTACAGGGAAACACATTTCGGCGAAAAATGTCCCATCATTCATTTATTTTAAAATCCAAGAAATGCAAAGTACAATGGACTTTTCAACTCAGTTGTACAGTACTTTATTTCTCACTGCTAAGCTGCGGAAAGGCTCAGTTCAACATCGGACTAAAGTTGGAGCAAAGGCAGAGAACTTGGATCATTAAATATTGTTTATTGATTTGGGAAGCACGTTGCTCGTTCCAAGGATTAAAACCAGGGTACGTGAACGTTTTTGTCGCTCTATTCCGCTAGGGAATCCGCATGGAGTTCACGACATTTTGGTTCGCATTCCAGGGAATCTGCTAGGACGGGTAGGTCAAAAAACTTCAGCGTCGTTGATACTGTAGTTCATTCGATCGCAATGCTACCCTTTAGAAGAAACCTGAAGACCGCAAGCAATTGTAATCCTGGATAGAAAAGGGCGACCAACTTTTGAATGAAGGCAAAAATGGAATTTGGTACGTGAGCGATTCACCCACCAGAGAAAACTAATAAGAGTACTGTACGCATCTTGCTTCGTAATAATCGTCGGAAGGTTGCCAACTGAGAGCTGCTCGATTTTGCTACTTTAAAGAAATGATTCCATGCTTCAAATCGAAGTCAGTGAAAATTCGAGACGCTGTCTCGAATACAAGCTAAATTTTTAAATTCGGTGCGGACAAATGGATTACGCATGAATACAGTATGTCGAGTGTAGGACGCACCTGAGTTTTTAAGCAACTCTTTTTTATGGTTGCGGCATACCGTCGAGTACATGCGTTAAATTTCCCGTGATACTCATTTTACATGGATAGTCTTCAATCGATATATTCGGACATGAATAGTTTTCATCTCATTCACTTGAACCAAGACGTGGGGTGAAGAGTTTGTTCGCTTCAGAAAGGCATTGCCTTTGACCTCCTACCCATCCCCTTTTGATCTCACGCAATGCTTCGAATATGTACAGTAGTTCCGCGTATCTGGTGAATCAGTGAAAAAATACTTCCCCTATGAAACTTCTTACATTATTCAGACCCTGTAGCGGCGTGTAGATATGCACTTCGCGAAGGGGACTATCATGTAAGCGGCTCTCTTGATAGGGTCAGCCTTGTCCATAGCTGGCTCCCAGGTGAAGAACCGGATGTAATCGTGATAAGAGACGAAAATCGCACTCACCGCCATGAGGGTAGAAGGAGAGGCCTAACGAGACGATTGCAGCAACAATGAGAATGATGAGAGTCACGTCCTGAATCGCCTCCAGAATCAACTGCAGGAACGTCTTCGGCGGTCGGGGCGGTATCACGTTGGACCCGAACGTTTGCCTCCGATGCTCGAGATCCGCCTGAGATCCCGAGAGACCTGTCGGAAGGAAAATCCCGCATCGTTGCAGTCGCCTGGGTAATGCATCTCCAGCGTAACATTCGCGCAAAAACACACCTGAATGTCAAAGGTAATCGAATCTGTCCTTCTCGCCTGATGGGGTTTTGACAGCTCAGAAAGTAATTTAAAGCAGCTTTAGAAAAATATGGGGAAAAGTCACGACTCGTCCACCTTTCATATGAAAAAATTAAATAAACTCAAGGGTGTGACGTAGATACACCTGGCGGCCCTCGTCGCAAGCGACAGCTCGTCGAAAAATTGATCGGAAAGGACTGATTCCATTCCGACGATTAATCTTCATCAGTTACGATTCAATCGACTCCGAAAAAAGCAGCGAGAATCGGGCCGCAATACTTGATAAAACTCGTTGGAAATTTCACATTACGTCTCAAATGACACGTTTCAAAGTTCAACTTTATAGGCACGCAGGTTGGTTCATTAGTTGGATCTACAACTTGAAATGCAGTCATTCAACGGATATTTTCGAATTCAAACGAAAAATTTTCTTGAATAACAAATCACCAATCAACTTTACTTCAGTAATATTGAACGGTTTCTTAACAAGACTTGTGTCCAAATTAATTATTAAAATTATTGATTCGCCATTCGAAACATTGTTTATCATGTAGCAGCTACACCGGGAAGTTCAGCTAGATTTCCCAACAGCCATTCATCCGAGTTGAGATCCCCAAAGCACAAAGGCATTGTACCAAGACATGAATTGAGTCGTATCTAAGTTGGTTAAGGATTATATTCAATCGGAAATTATTCCATTCAATTACAGGCCTGACATTTTCAACTTCCTACGTACAAGCTGACTATGACATTGCGACGTAACTTTAATATTCACCTGCACAAACATCAAAATAAAAAATTCCTTGCACATTTGCTTTCAAGCATTGATTTTCAATTTATTTTTACGCATGGGACATCTTATGCTCAGACCTCCTGCCAGTCAATTAAATACGAGGCAATTCCAAATGGTGAGCCTTTACATAAGGATAACTTTCCACACTATCCCCTATTTTCTTTGTGTCAATTTGAGAGAAGCGAAAATTTGAACAGCGGTCAATAACTTATGAAGTACTGTGAACAGTAGTGTTTTTAATGGACTAATACTGTTCACCTTCGCGAATCTCCAACCCTAGAAAGTATAAATTTTAAAAAATTAGGAAGAAGCACTCTTCACAGTACTGAATAAAATAAAAAACCGTTCGTTCATTGAGACCATACAAAAGGTTGACCAATTGGATTACGTGGGTTTCGAGAGCTTATTACTGTATAATTAATCGAGCTGAACGATTCAAAAGAAGTCATAACAACCAGTTTCACAACTGGCAGATTGTCATCATCGCGTCTAATCGCCGAGACTCGGCAACCGTTGGAATAATCGAAAACCCGGGACTGGATAATACCAAGGTTTCCCAGCTGTAGCAGTACTACGCAGACGACAGTAATCCGCTGGACTGTCACAAAGATATGTGCTGAAACGAAAATCTGAGGATAATTTCAAGTCATGTCGCGTATTCAACCGCGAAATTCGATCCTTGCGTCCGGGCGCTTTGTTTATGCACGACGCTCATAAAAGAGCAGGATGTTGACGCTCAATGAGAACTCGAAAACGCATTGAGCGAACAGCTTTGCTCCAGCGGAGAAAGAAAGTGCTAGAGAGAATACTAGACCAAAGCGGATAGACCTACACTCCCGGGAAAATATTTGGTGAGCATCTAAGCAGAACATAACGCAGAAACCCCAGGAACAATAAATTAAACCCGAGGAATCCTTCCCGAGCTCATATCCGTTCGGTGGGAAATGAACGGCGTTATTCAACCAGCGGTGGGAGCTAGATTACACCGGGGTTGCGTCGGGGATCCCGCCACGATTCGCAAGCACGGTTCATTCGGCTTGCCCATTCCAGTACGACGCAGATAAGCTGTTTATCCAAGTTCAGCCGTGCACGAATTCTGTTCTCATTTCGAGACAAAAATCACTGAAGCCGGTGGAACATCAATTTTTCGCAATTTTTTTGTGTGACAATAAACGGAAACCCACGAACAATCACGAGATTCTCACAGGTTTACAGAAGACAATCAACATTTCCGGTACGATAATTTTAAATGAGGTCATCGCCGAGTTGGAAGGGATTTGAGCTAGGCAAGAAGCTCGACTCGACTGGAACAGCCGAACGAAATAACCTCGTTAATGAGACAATATAATCCCACATTATGGAAGGGAATCCTTCCAGCTCGCTGACGTGGTAAAAAACAGGAAAATACCAGACTTCCCCCTATACCCGGGAAAACTTCGTGCACGTATTCGGAAGTCACACTTCGAACTTCGCAAACTTGAATTGAGCGAGGAGTTTCCAATGGATCGAGCACTCTGGTATAGCAAGCGCAACATACAATTACTGTCAACGTAAATTGGCCTACGACTTTTGTTTGCAACGTTGGATGCGTCAGGCGATGAAACTCGTGATTCATTCGGAAACTGGCAGCCGCTCGTGAATGGAAACATGATGGAACCTCAATTGTACTGGCTAATGACCAGTTGCCGTTTACGCACAATTTGAAGGTAAGTATAATCTAAAACACTCGCAACTCCGTGTAACTGACTGATTATCATAGGTACCACTTTCGAATTTGAGAGAATCTTTGCGTCTTAAACTATGTTAAGTCTCTTTTTTCGCTCCCGCTGAACAAAATTTGTGCATATTGCTGCATGCATATATTTCTAATCTTCGGTTTCCCTCCCAAACGAGAGATCATTACCCAGTATAAAAAGGATTTAAACTTCAGTAATGTTTAGTTATGCAGCTGCGAATGCCACACATTTTCCTGCTCGTCCGAAAGATGGCATCCATATCAGCGACTATTTTTGCCAAAAAGCTGTTGATTGTCAACTCTCAAAAAAACCATGTCAGTGATCATGGCGAATACACACACCGCATCTCCCTTCATTCATCATTGGTGGCGAACTAAGAGATGTGAAAATCCTCTTCTCGTCAAACGGCTAAAATCCTCCACGTCATCGTATGAGTAACTTCACGTGACTTCCGAGTAGCCATTCTAGACTTCGGACTTTCGGCAATGCTGTAGCTAAGCCGCGGCGTTCAAGAAGCCATATCGCGACATGGGCACTAGTTCGAAATGAATATCCTCAATATCAGATAAATTTTTTTAGCGGCATGGAAAGAAAAAAATCGATTTCGAACTCAGGAAAACCATGCCTAAATCGTGTTGTCCAAAAAACTAATCCTATACGATTCTCAAAAGGTCAATCTCTCCCTGAGATTCCCGAATTTCCCTTTTGTTAATGAACATAAGGAAATAAAAAATGAAAAATAATTCAAGTAAAAATAAAGTAAAAATAATTCAAGTAAAAATAAAGTAAAAATAATTCAAGTAAAAATAAAGTAAAAATAATTCAAGTAAAAATAAAGTAAAAATAATGTAAAAATAATTCAAGTAAAAATAATGTAAAAATAATTAAAGTAAAAATGAAGTAAAAATAATTCAAGTGAAAATAAATTAAAAATAATTCAAGTAAAAATAAATTAAAAATAATTCAAGAAAAATAAATTAAAAATAATTCAAGTAAAAATAAAGTAAAAATAATTCAAGTAAAAATAAAGTAAAAATAATCCAAGTAAAAATAAAGTAAAAATAATTCAAATAACAAGGACGTACGTTCTTCATGTACTGTAATACTAAAAAACGACAACTTTTTCGAAGAATTTAACTCGATTCTACATATGATCAGTCCGATCATGAACACACTTTACTAATCAATCAAAAAAGATCCCAGGAATGCTTTCAGTTGGTTCATTCTACCAAATGATCAACCAATTCCGCAAGTGTGTTTCGAATCGTTCATAAATAATCTACGATGTACCGATGCAATCAATTTTTCGATGAAATAAACATAGTACTGATGCGTACCTCGTACAAAAAATGGCCTCGACCCGACTTCACCGCAGGGAGTCAATGATAATATTGGTGCAATACATTCCGGACAATGACGAAATAATAGCATTTCATTCGGACATAGTTCTACTTTCAGTTATAGGAATACGGAGAGGGAAGTTGACTTTGCTCAGCAGTCCTATCACGAAACTTCCGAGTCCACACGGGCGTAAAATGTATGCGTTGATCTCGTCATTTGCCAGCCCACCGTACAGAAAGTAAAAAGAATCGAGACGCACGCTGTAGATGTCCGGGTACCGGTGAATATTGGATAACCCGGCGGACTCAAGCAGGGACAGCAAAAAACGTAGACTTTCGTCCGGATATGTCGAGTCACTAGTGCGAAACCCACTCCACAAACAAGTCGCCGTTCCGGGACAAGAATTTGATTCCGCCAATGGCGAAGTACGAAAGCCCGACCCAGGCTCATTTCTTGCATCAACCGCTCGAATGTCAACTGCAGCCAGGACAGACTGAACACGAAGTAACCGCTCCCTCTTCCTCGAGCACTTCGTGGAAGATGCAATTTTACTGCACGGCAGTAGGCGCATGAATGATAACGCAGCTTCTTCCTTTGAGAGGTGAGGGGATTCTTAAATTATTAGCGCCGCGAAGTGCGCCATCCTTGCCAGTCTCACGGGAAGCTGACAACTTCGAGACCTCTTTCCCTATACAGTAGCTTTAATTGAACGAGCAGTCGCCCGATTACGCCGTCATGTAATATCCAGCGAATATGATCCACCATGAAGAAATAGAATCTTGCAATGCTTGCGAATCTCCCATTTTAAAACGCTCTTGAGCAGGCTTTTCAGCCGACGGTACACATGTACTGTACTTCACAAGCAGTACGAAAAAGTTTCCTGCATAAATGCGAGACAACTTCCATCGCTGTCCTGATGTGCGCTTTCCTGAACAAATTGCGACCCTGCATCATGCAATCTACCTGTGCTACCTGCTTACGCTCTGGAATGCGATTTAACTCAAATTCAAACCTTTCAAACAATTATGAACTCG